GAGGAGGAGGAGGAGGAGGAGGAGGAGGAGGAGGAGGAGGAGAAGAAGAAGAAGAGGAGGAGGAGGAGGAGGAGGAGGAGGAGGAGGAGGAGGAGGAGAACAACAACAAGAACAAGGAGGAGGAGAAGTAGAAGAGAAGAAGAACAACAAGGAGGAGGAGGAGAAGGAGAAGGAGAAGGAGAAGGAGAAGAAGAAGAAGAAGAAGAAGAAGAAGAAGAAGAAGAAGAAGAAGAAGAAGAAGAAGAAGAAGAAGAAGAAGAAGAAGAAGAAGAAGAAGAAGAAGAAGAAGAAGAAGAAGAAGAAGAAGAAGAAGAAGAGGAGGAGGAGGAGGAGGAGGAGGAGGAGGGGGAGGTTCTTTGAAACAACTATGGCCTGGATGACTGAGAATCTCCATGGACATCATGTACGTTTGTAGCATAGGCTAAAGAGAGAGATTTTTCAAATCTCTGCCTCGCAGATCCCAAGGGTCACAAACAGTTTCAGAGAAGCTGGCAAGGCTTTTGCAATCGACAGTCGACCAAGAAAAAGCAGAGATTAAAAAAATGGGAAAGTTGAAAATAAATAAGTCGTTCAAGCGATTTCCCCAAAATCAGCCAAAGGGAAAAAACCCGAGAAGCAAACCGTAGTTTTTATTCCGGAATAACGCAACGATAGGCCACTTGGAAAAACGCTTTGGGCCGAGTCCCGAGCAGGTGGACATTTGCAACAAATAATTAATGACCCTTCTCTGCCAGGCGGTCAGCAGCCATTGATTAGGTGGCCGAATCCTGGCCCTTGTGAATTCCAAACAGAAATTCACGGCTTTGTGATTTATTAGCAGGCTGCCAATTGACTCACCTGTCTCAGGAGCCTAAGGGATGTATGCTTATTAAAAATCTTTACAGCTACTTCTTCGCCGACGTAAACCGCGCGGTACACGGATCCGAATCCGCCATCGCCTTTTCGATAGAAAACATGAGACAAGATTAAAAGAGTCGGTAACGTTCCCTGAATTTATAGGAGGATAATTACATATGTAATGAAACACCGTTTCGGCGTATTCCAGGGGTCTTCAAACTTGGCCCTTTTCTGACTTGTGGACTTCAACTCCCAGAATTCCTCAGCCAGGCGCGCCTGGCTGAGGAATTCTTGGAGTTGAAGTCCACAAGTCAGAAAAGGGCCAAGTTTGAAGACCCCTGGCGTATTCTAAGTTAAGAAATCATACCGTCGCTGAAATAATTAATTTTTAATTTGATAGAATTCCCTTCAAACCAGCAAGGATGGATTTGTTAAACATACTGGATAACAGGAGGGAGTTGGAAGGGACCTTGGAGGTCTTCTAGCCCAACCCCCCCTATTCAGGTAGAAGATTATAACATTCCTTCCAACATTGTTGTGTTATACTAACCAGCATTCAACTAGGGAGGATGTTCTGTGTATGTGTGTTAGGGGTTTTTTAAGACACTTTTTGGGTCAATGTCTTTTTTTGTTTTGTTGTTATTTTTAAATATTTTGGCGTTCTTGTATTTTAATCTTCTTTGAATAAACTAAAATTTTTCAAAATAAAAAAAAAATGTAAAAAATAAAAACAAAGGAACAAATAAATATAGCCAACAAAACTTTCCGAATTCTCGGTTCTAAGCACAGGTTGCAACTGTCAGCACTAATCCATCTGCAAATTAAGGCAAAAATGCATGCTAGGTATCTTATTCAACCATGCATGAAGATAGACTGGAAGAAATAGTATGATGAAATTACACAAAACTTTCGTATCCATATTGAGGGCATCCCAAAAGAATTCTACGTTACCTACCGAATGAAATTCCTAACTTCGTACAATATTTCTAACAATACCAATTAGATTAAAATATTGGCAACAGCACTGGCACACAGACTTATCTACAGCTTTGTAAGTCTTTACAGCCCTCTCTAAGCGGTTTACAAAGTCAGCAGCTTTCCCCCAACAATCTGGGTCCTCCTTTTACCGATCTTGGAAGGACGGAAGGCTGAGTCAACCTTGAGCCCCATCAGGATCGAACTCCAGGTGGTGGGCAGAGTTTGCCTGCAATACTCCATTCTCACCACTGCGCTATCACAGGTTAAATAACAATAGCAATAGGACTTAGACTTGTATACCGCTTCA